AAAAAAAAAAAAAAAAAAATTTACAGAGTTATTTACACCACAAAGCACTATTTATTCATAGAACCACAGAATATCCTGAGCTGGAAGGGACCTACAAGGATCATCCAGTCCAACTCCTGGCCCTGCACCTGAACAATCCCACCCCACGCCTGAGAGCATTGTCCAAACATGCCTGGAGTTCTGGCAGCCTTGGTGGCTGTGACTATTCCCTGGTGACCTTTTGTTGGTTCTTGTCCAGGTATGATTGCTGCGATTGTAGCTGCCAGTCTAAACTTTTAAAATTTAAAAAAAACAAGTGATTGGCGTTTTTCACAGTGACAGTCCTCCAACCCTTGCCAAGCAAGAATGAGGGGAGAGACGGTGAAATCGAGCCTCTTGACCAGGAGGGAGGCGCGAACGGCTCGGAGAGGGGTGGGGAGAGCCGGGGAGGGCGGGCGAGGTGCAGCCCGGTCTGAGTCAGCCCGGCCGCACGATGTGCGCCGAGGGCAGTGCCCGTCCCGGCGCCGGGAGCCCGCGTCCCTTCCCGTCCCTTCCCCGCCGCCCCCGCGTCCCGAGTGCCCGCGCCGGCTGCACCCGCTCCCGCCGCGGCCGCTGGCAGGGCTGCTCCGCCCTCGCCCTCCTTCTCCCCCTTCTCCTCCGCCTCCTCCTCCTCCCACGCGGGGCAAGGGCAGCCCCGAGGGCGCCCGGCGGCCCGGGGGGGCCGCACCACCAGCCGGGAGTGGCTGCACCATGTGAAGCGGCGGGGCTGCCCCCCCGCCCCGAGCCGCCCTCTCCCGCACCATGAGGGACGGGGATGCAGGGCAGCACCCACGCCGCGCACAGGTAGAGCCCGGGCGGCTCCTCCGCCTCCTGTCCTGCGTGGTCCTTGTGTGCGGGGCGGAGGTCGCGGCTCTCGCCGACTTCTCAGGTACGGGGCGGGCACCGAGTGGCGGGCTCCGGCTGCGGAGCTCCGAAGGGCCGGGCGGAGGCGGACACGCCGCGGGCAGGGTCTGGCGGGCGCTGTCAGCCCCCCTCAGTGCCCCGAGGGGACCGGCCGCAGCCAGGGCAGGGGCCGCGTATTCCCCGGAGCGCTCCGTGTTCCGTAACCTACATCTGGTAGGCCTTGGAGTGCCAAACGCGTCCTGCAAACTCTCATCAGGAACCTGGGCTGGTGAGTTTTGTTGCATAGGGAAAGGGGCCAGCGTTCATGTTCAGGGGCCTAAACCCTAACCCTTACCCTAGGCCTAACCCTAAACCTAAATCCTTCCCCTAAATCTAATCTTAAACCTAAACCCTAAACCTAAATCTAACGCTAAACCCTAATCCTAACCATAACCGTAACCCTATTTAGGGTTAGGTAGAGAAGAATAGTAATGATATGAATAGTGTTACTCTCATTGGGATCTCTAATTAGGGTGATATAGATAAAAATAAGAAAAATAATAGACTCTTATGTGGTGTTAGGTTTATGTGTGTGCCAGACTTACTCCTACACAAGATATTTGGTACTGGGGCCCAGGTAGAAGCACCCTGAAATGCAGATTTAAAGCCGTAAAATGCTGAAAAACGGAGAGCTTCCTTCAAGTGAACCCCTTAAAATGAGGAAATGGGGCAGTTACCTCCAGTTAAATTGACACAATGGCAAATAAATAGGTTCTGTCCTTTAATTTAGTCCCCCAAAATATTAGATAAACAGGTGTTTGCCCACTTTAAATTTCTCATATGATGGAAAAAGGTGGATTTTCCCCCTCAATTCAAGCCCTTAAAAACCCCAACCCTAACCTTAACCCCTAACCCAACCCCATCCCTAACTCTCACCCTAATGGGGGGAGAATCCTAGCCCTAACCGTAACCCTAACCCTAATGACAAAACATCGGTCCTAGGCATGTCCACCAGACACTGGAGAAGAAAACCAGCACTATGGGCAGAAGGGGGAAAAAAAAAAGGAAACTTATAATTTCAATTTTTAAACAGATTTTCCCTGTATGTATCAGAAGTTTTCCTTCCGCTTTATTGTTCTACAATATCTGGAATGCACTGGTCTCACCATGATATCCCATGCCATGTACAGAAAAACTGGATTAATGGGGCTGAATCCTGGCAGCTAGCACTGAAACCAGTAGGAACTGCTGTGGGACATCAAGCACTAAAGCCATACAAGAGCTTGCAGCTGGTACTAAATTGTTTACAGCTATTTTCTATACAAGGGAAAGTTGTAAGATGCAAAAGGAGATTACAATTTTATATAGCAAAATGTACAAATAAACCTACCGGATAAGTGCTTCATCACTGTACTGTTTCGACAGGACTTAATGATTTTTATACTGTCTTTGCTGAACATTTGTTTTTTGAATGGGGGGAATCAAGGACTTCTAATAATAAACTGCATTAATTTTCCAGAAGAGTAGCATGTTTGTGGGTAAAACCTGCATCACACCCCTGAAAGCCAAACAAGAACCTGGTTTAGACAATGCAGAATCAACAGGCCATGAACTGGAATTTGTTTTTAATATCTATATAAAAAATAATGAGCGATTTACAGGTCTCTCTCTAGTCAGAACCTCAGAAGTCTGTATAAAGGTGCTGTACAATATATAAACATTTACACCCAGTACATCCATACATTGTGTAGCATTCCAAGGCCACATGGCTAAGTTTGATGCAGGAAGTACAGATACAAGGTCTATGGAAGGAGAAATCACACACAGTTAAGACATTATCAGGTCACATGAACATATAGAAAAATAGAGAGGAGTTGATGGCAGGGAGATCATTTCAGTGGGGCTAATTCATCTGGAATTAAAGCACTGGATTTTTCACTGTACTCAGTGGTCAGGCTGAGTGCACACAGCTCAACATCAACCAACCTCTGGGCAAGAACACAGGGCAATATCTACACAGGCTACTTCAGAGTATTAAATATTTCACAGTCATATTCTACCCAGGGAGTATTCATACGTGTTATGCTACACAGCAACCCTGGTGTCAGTGGCTCACCTGGTATTGAGCAGGTGAGCACAGTTCAGAGCTGCTTTAAAGCCTTTTGAATTCCCAAGTCTTTGTTTAAAAGCTGTTTGAGCAGTCAGCTGTATTTGTGAAGAATTCCACTCAGAACTGCCTCACTGTGCTTTGTTAGCCTTCAAAAACATTTAACGTTTCAAAGCCAAAATGAGATATTTGCTTGCAAAGAGCAAATCATGTTTGTATTTTAAGTAAGTAAAGCTCAATGATTTACTCTTCTTTCTCCAGCAAACTGGACCAAGGGCATCCTTTCACCACTTTTCTGCAGTCATTAAAAATCCCAGATGTCAGGAAATAATCACTAAAAGTGTGAATAAAATAAACCACTTCCATTTCTATTGTTCTTACAGCTATAGGACTGATGTGTCAGTAGGTTCTGGTGGTAACATCCCTCTTTAAAACATCTCTGCCAGCCCAAACCATAGATGGTGTATCTCCTGTATCCTGTTTGTCATCAACGCTTCTTGATCACACATGCACAGTAAATAGGGGAGAGTTCTAAAATATACAGGCAAGAACTTCACTGAAAATCTGTTCTGGTAGCTGAGTCTGTCCTACAGTCAGTTCTTACCTCTACAGAGGGGAAAAAACCCCAATTCCTAACTAGCATTAAATAATTAAAGATGGGACTTCAGTATGAGCTCCACACTGAGGCTGAGGGTGTCATGGTGCCATGCGTGAAACCAAAGGAATTGTGTTATTTAACAGAATCCAGAATTTTCTTTCCTCTCACAGATGTTTGCAACCCAAATCCCTGTGAATCAAGGAACTAAAGTGATTCTGCTGTGTCAGAAAAAGCAAAATTACAGAATTGCGTTAAATACCATATTTAGCTACAGGGTTTTGTATTAGGTATTAAAATTCCAGGAAACATATGAACTGAGCAGCATCAGCAACTCATTTGCTGCCCTGGAACTGACAGAACCAACTCAGCCGTTTTCTCCCTGACCCAGCAAGAACACGTGAGTTTCCTGATGTAAACATGCAACCTGCTCTAGAGAAAACACCCACTTCAGCCCAAACCTGCCTTGTCTCTGACTGGAATCCATGTGGGAAGGGTTAGATTGACTGGATGCAGTAGATAGCTTGGCACAACAACAGGAAGTGAGTCTGGATCACATTGGCAATACAGGCATTAAATAACTTTGTTCAGAGTTCACAATACTCCGGGAAGCTGCAGCAGTGCAACACTGGGAGCAGCAGACATGGCCTGCAAAGGGACAGCAGCTCATGGAAGGGTTTCACTGAAGCAATCTGAAAGTCCTTCATGGAGCTTAGATAATTTAAGAACAAATCAAATACTTTCCTCCCTCTAACCAGTTTCTGAGAAGAGAAAAACTTTCCCCCCTCCAACCAGTTTTTAGAAAAAAAAAAAAAAAAAAAAAAAAAAAAAAAAGACAACTGTGTGAGAAAAACCAATGTTTTAAATTACCCTTACTGGAAAATTGATCAAAACATGCTCTAAAAACCAGTGTCTCTCAGTCAGTCACACCCCTTTTCCAGGCACCCCTGCTGCTGGGGAGCCCTTACAGCCACTGGGGACCCTCCACGGCCCAGGAGTTATCAGTGTTTTCCTTACTGGAGAATTCCTCTCAGGTTGGGAAGTTCCATCTTTGGTCTCATTGGGCAGCTCCATGTGTCTCTCTCCATGGTGTCTGTTCATCATAAGAGCTTCCTGTGTTTCTGCCCTTCTTTGTTTCTCCATGGAAAGCAGTGGGATACTGGAAAGGCTGGAGGTTTTGAATCTACTGGAACCTGTGTCTCCAGAGCTGGACTTGGTTAATAAATCATCCTCAGAGGCATTTCTCTTGGAGTCCCTAAAGGGAAGGCTATTCCCACCAAACACTGAGTAATGTTGGTCTGCAGAACACCCTTCTGTCTTTCCTGGTGTCTTCTGCTTCATTCTTTCTTTCCTGGTGACTTCTGGTTTACCATTCCCACCTTTCAACTGCTCAACAGAACAGGATGTTTGGATCCTTCCCACTGTTTCTGTGCTTCCTGGTTTGCTGAGATGCCTTTGGGGACTTGCTGACCTTCCTCGACTTCCATGAGAAGACTCCTGTTTGTCACTATTCTTCATCCCTTTTCCTGTGGTTTTACTCTCACTCCTGGAACTGTCAGATTTATGTGAGAGATTGTTCTTCTCAGGATCCCCTTTCCTGGGGCTGTGGAATCCCATGTGAGGGTATCCTTCAGCAGCCCTTGTCTTCGCTGGACTGGCAGATCTGCCCCTTCTGGTCCCTGCTTCTGAACTACCTTTAGTGATTCCAAATGCAGGACTTGAGGGACATTCCCATCTGTTCTTTGTTCTCTGGGGAGAAGACTGAGGCTTCCTCTCACACAGGTTTTCAGTTAAAGTGCTTATCTTGTCAGGCACAGTGTTCTCTGCTTGTTCCAGTTCCTCAGACAGCTGAACTCTGGTTAAAGCTTCTCCTGGTACTGCTAAATAACACACTTCAGATGGGGAAGCAGAATGGGAAGATGAAGATAATAATGGTGACTGTTCTTCATATATTACATTTGATGAAGCAGGATTGTAGCTATCCCAATCACCTGGAAGCAAATGGCAAGAGATTTGATTAAACACACAAAAAGTAATAATTGGCAAACTACTGAGTTCAATTCAGAAAACATTATAGAGCAGCATACTTTCAAAGCTTTATTTAGCCAGCTTTCTGTATTGTGTTGTTCTACAATAATCCTGAAGATGTGATTTTGGAAAAAAAAAATCTAGTGCTCAGAGTGCTGGATCCCTGCAGGACTGACACAGTCTTTGAATCAAAACAATTTTAGGGCCTACACAGCAAAATTTCAAATCAAAAAGTCCCTGACCTACATTGTTTAATAAAACCTAACAAACTAGAACTGTTATGCCTAAAGAAATCTGAAACTGTGAAAAGTGGGGTTATTCATAGCTTTGCACTGTAAAAACAGGAAGCGATGAAACAAGACATGCAGATTTACCAAGTCTTTAAGGAAAAAACCAAGAAAAGCACTGAAAGCCCTTAATGTTGCTCAGGTTTCACGTAGGGACACAGACTGGAAGGAGCCAAACCTGAAGGAGGAAGAGAAAAAGCCCAGAAGTACATACCAAAAAAAAAAAAAAAAATCACAGACTACAGCAAGCAAGATTTCAATCAGAAATGTGGGATTAACAGCAAGGCAAGAGGCCATAAACCCTTCCCCACTCCACCACTTCCTTCACCTCATCCCAGGCCTCATTCTAGACAGAGGGCTGGCCTGGACATGCTCCAGAGGTTCCCTCTTGTCCGATTCTGTTTCTCCCTCAAGCTAAGGGAATTTCTGTGACCAGCAGGACCAGTAGTGATGCTCAGGACCCTTTTTTAGCTCTCGGGAGGAAAGAAATTGAGACAGTTCTGAGCAGATTTTACCCTTTGAGTGAATGCCAGTAAGTGAGTGAACACACAAAGTATTTGGTAGCTCAAACTGTGTGTTTGGGATTTTGTAAGGATAAGCTTGGGGTTGATCACTGACTGAAAAACACCTTATCAGAAAAAGTGACCCTACAATTTAGGAAGTTTAACCATCAGCACCTTGGTGTCAGCATCAGGGCTTAAAAAGACTAAAACACATATTTAGGAAATTATATGTTCTTTGCTTTAAAATGGTGCTGCTGCCACTGCCACAAGTCTCTGATTTGCAATCTTGGGACTGAATCAGATGCAAAGCCATCAGTTCTGAACTTTGTGGCTCCTGCAAACATTTGCTTTGCTGTCCTTCCTGGATTTTTTGGGGGTTTTGTTTTGGCCCACAAAGTTGTGGTTTCCTTTTGTAGACACAGAAATCACCTTGAATCAAACTGAATGCCTTTGGAGAGTAAAGTTGTCCCTTTCCTGCTTCCTGAAGTTTTGGCTTTGAAAAACAAAGCATTTCGTAATTTAGAAGGCTCAAATCAGAAGTAAATATGTACAGAAACAAACTTTTAACAATACTGAAGCACAGAAAATTTTCATTTAAATTAAAGGCAATCAGGGTTAATCAGCATATTTTTATAGAAAAACTTGATTAGCTTGGATAGAGCTGAGGAACTAATTAGAAATATGGAATAATTTCAGACTGTGCAATGCTCCTACGTACTGTCATGTGTTAATTTTACCCCAAATATTCCTTGTATTTAAAAAGAGATATTTTATTTTTCAATTTTTATATTTTAATGTTTAGTTTAGTTCAATAATAAATGCACAGCTGTCACAAAGGCAACTGCCTACTACTGCAGTGAACAAGTAGCAGAATCTCCTTATCCTACTTTACTTCCCTGCCTTGTGCCCTCAACACCAAAAAGCCCTTGAGACAACGTACTGTGATCTGGTATCAACCCAGTCCCTGGTCTCAGCAGCAGCATAACTTTATTTCCTCCAGCCTGAATCAGCTCAATGGCTCGTGTGTGAGTGATTCCTTGGGTAGGTTCTCCATTAATTTCCACAATTTGGTCACCAACCTGAGGAAAAAAGAGCAGCAGATTAGTCTTTGGGAATCTCTGACACTGTGAACTGGTTTTTAATTTAGAAAGAAAAAATAACAGAGGCAGAGGCTTCTGTTTTCCTTCTCATGCTAAAATCCAGTGGGCATTAGTGACACCGTGACACCATTCCATGGATGACAAGCAGGATGTGACCACAGGGTGGGGGGATTCAGAGGTGCGTGGAGGTTGTCTGCTCAGGAAAAGATTCCAGAGATCTTAACCATATCTTCTTTTATTTACAAGTGATGAGACAGATACAGGATGTGCTTGAATATATTTTCATTGATTCTGGATCATGCTGTGGAGGGAGAACATGGATCAACCACATCACACTCGTCTGAGGTCACCTTATCCAGGGGAGGACACAGCACCTTCCCTATACCCACTGCCAAGCTGAACACGGCACAAACAGGTTTGATGTAAGGACAGGAACTGTTACTTCAGGATGGACAGATCAGTGGTGAGGTCTCAGAGCCAGTAAACAACTCTCACAGGTACCAGGCAGGTAATTTCAGCCAGCACTAACTTCCCTGGCTGCTGCAAAGGGGCTGGAATAGCATACCCCAAAAATAGTTCTCTTTTAGGCAAAATTGAGAAGGGAAATGGGGAAAAAAGGGAGCGGGAGCCTATCTGGCACTGCACACAGCAACCAACAGATGTCACTGGTGTGTAACATTAGCAGCTTAAAGAGGCTTCCTGGGCTTCGTTGAAGTCACTCTGCCAAAGGAGGTCACTGCCAGCTCCTCATGGACAGGCTGGGACCGAGACACACCGGGACAGTAGCTAGCTGGATGAGAAGTTCCTCCTCACACTGTTAAAGTATAACCAGAAAGAGACACCATATCCGGATGACAAGAAATGAAAAGTGTGAATAACCTCAGGCTGGGTGAGCTCAGCCCATCCGTGCTCTGGGCTGGGGACTTGGCACATGCCAGCACTGGGAGGGGCTTGGTGTCAAGGACGGGAAGATCAAAGATGTGGCTCTGCACAAGACACTCAGACAGTCCCATCCTGTGCCTGAAAGCACTGTCCAAACACTGAGCTCTGGCAGCCTTGGGGTTGTGACCATTCCCTGGGTAGCCTGTTCCACTGCCAGATCACCTTCAGAGGGAAAACCTTTTCCCAATATCTAACATAACCCTCCCCTGACACAGTTCCAGCCATTCCCCCAGGGCCTGCCATTGGTCCTGCCCCTCGGGAGGAAGCTGCAGACCGCGGTGAGGTCTGGCTCCTCTTCTCTGGGCTGAACAATTTTTTTGGTTGTTTTGCTCAAAAAGCAAAGCCCTGGAGCTCAGTGTGACACCAACTGAAGAAGGACTATGAGAAAAAATATTAGCACTGAATGCTACACTCATGTTGTCTCTCAAGCACATGGGGGAAAATGCTTATTACTGTGAAGAATACTAAGAATTCCACTTAATCCATTTAAGTCTCACAGCAAGTATCTGTGCCAGCCCCATTCTGCAAATGCAGGACAAAGAGAGGCAGAGCCACATGCCAGCAACAGGGAAGCACAAGGACTGCAAAGGATGGCATCTCATGGGCACCTGGCTCACCTTGAGGCTTCAGCCTCTGAAAATCCAACCCTGGGCCGTAGCCACCGAGTCTCACTTACCATCGTTCCTTCTGTTATACCCAAGTACTTTGCTTTTACTACAATATTAGAGAGTGAATTCCTTACACAAAGGCAAGAATTAACATAGTATTTGGGAAAAAATCAGGATTGTATCTTCAGAAATGACATAGAACAGTAGCAGCACAATTTACACACAAACATTCCTTAAAAATTAACTGACTTGGACAGTGATTCTCTTCCCAGCTCTCTGGTGCACTGTGTGCAATCTCTTGTTGGGGCTCCTAACATATCTACAAGTACCTGCTGCTCACACCCAGGGATGCTACTGTAACCCCAGCAAAGCGGACAATTCCTTTGGGACGGCCAGAGCTGTTAATGAACTTCTCATGCAAAAGTCCACGGCCACAGGGACAGCTGGAAGAAGGGCAAAGGCCCAGATGCTGTTCTGGGACCTTGTGCTTGTGAAAATCCAAGTTTGTTGCCACTCTGGGTAAATTAATGTATCAACTGCATCAACAAATTGATTAGAGAAGCCAAACCTACATGGATTCTCCCATCCTTGACTGCTGGCCCATCCTCAGCCAGACGGAGGATGAATAAGCCCATGTTGTATTCCTTTCCTCCTCGGAGGCTGAATCCAAATCCTCGAGGGCCCCTTTCCAACTCCACTGGGAAACAGCCAGGATTCTGTGCAGAAAGTCACAGGGGGGAAAAAAAAGAGAGATGAATACCTGTAGGCAGATTTAACCTTCTGTTTTTCTAGAAAAAGATCCCAATATTTCTATATTTTGAGCATTTAAACAGCATTCATCCCAACTCTGGGGTGACTCAGGGTAATGGTTTTAATCTAAGTCCAAACATTCAGAACATCTTTCTTTCTAAGTCTGAGACAGGCACAAAATTCTTGAAGAAACTTTGCCAAAGAGTCTGTAGTCACTCCACTACAAGCATTTCTTGTTTCTTTCATGGCTATAATGAGTGTTCAAATACCTTAAGGAGATAATCACATTTGAAACATGAGCAAAAACATTCTGTGAGACACTTCAGTATGTTTTTATACACAACTGTTCTACCTGTATCCGACAGGGAAATGTTTTAACATTCTGCTTTTGAGAATTCTGTGGCAATGCCACTAGAGTGCCTTGATGGGTGAGTATTCCCTGTGTCTCCACACCCTCTGGATGGATTTTTGTACCTGGGAATGACGACTGCCAACACCTGAAGCAGCATCCAACTGTGCCATGTGCTTGTGCTCAGGCCAGGACAGCTGGTAACTATTAGAAACTTCTTTTCCAGCTTCACTTTCTGCAGCTCCCCTATGGAAAGGTGAAAGGACGTGGATGTTGCCTTCACATTAATCCCTCTGGCCAAGCTTTTCCCACCATTCCCAGCCCCTTTTCCTAACCTGTCAGGGTTGATCGGTGCCAGTCCCAGTGGTCGGTGCTGTGGGGCTGGACTCTGCCTGGCCGAGTTTGTTCCTGATGGAGGACCACGTTGCTCTAGAATCCAAAGAAAATCAACAGTCACGACTTCACACATCTGCAGCCAGGACAATGGTCCCCACCACTGCTGGGGGTACTGCTCCCAAGGAACTGCAGCCACGACACCTTGAGCCAAGCTCATGTGGACACAACAGAGAGGATTTTCCAAGCCAGGGACACAAGTACAGCTCAGTAAATTCTCAGGAATTCTATTCTTTATTTTTATTCTTTCACTCTGCTTTTCCTCTGGAAATACCAGCACAACTGTATGGATCCTGACATGAACAGAAGGGATTGCCTGATTGCAACTTGATAAATGCCAGAGGGGATCAGGGCTGATCAGATCCATGAAATTGGTTCAGATATTCATTATCATAAGATTTTTTAAGAGACGAAGAACAATGTGCATTTGAAAAATACCCCTCTGTAAAGGTAAGTGAATGAGGATCTGCAGGAGACATGGGGATTTAGAGGTGAAGACCCCATCAAATAAAGGGAAATTGTCAACTCATTTAAGGCACAACAGTTTTCCATTGCCCAGCTCCAGGCAAGGTGAGGAACTGGTCTCTTGGGAGAAGGAGTTCACTGGCAGGCAATCAAGAGGAATGTTAAAGTCTTTTGCCTTCTTCCAAAAGCTAAGTAAAAAATAAGGTTTTGATAAAACCATTTAAAATAACTCCTTATTATTTTCCCCTCCAGGGAAAATACTGTTAGTGTGCACTTTACAAAAAATCCAGTGCATTTCTGGAAAAAGCCCTGTGTTTCAGGATACAAAAATGACACTCTCGCTTAAGAATAAAGAACCACAGTCTATGCAAAAAGCTGCCTCTTAGCTGGAACCTGAATGGCAAGCAGTGGCCCAAGATGGACTTTTGTGCTGAAATATAAACTACTAACTCCTTTTCCCTGAAAGGGTTAAAAACCAATCATTCCCAGCACCAAAACTAGAGATGTTCCAGCCCCATTAGGTGTAGCACACCACTGCATTTCTCAATTAAGAACAAACAAATTCCACTAAAATACAAAAAAGTGCTCAAGAATGTTAAGGGAAGATAAATTTAAAGCATATTACACTGAATTTCTCAGGTATGTGAGACCTCCCGAGCCCTCCACACATCTGCTTGGTGCTGTTCTCATGACATGCCTTAAAGAGGTTTTTCTCTAGAGACAAAATGTCAACTTTTACTCCTGGTTTATCCTCAGATTTTTAATTTAGAAGCATAGGCAAGAAAAACGCCATCTGTTTGTACAAATCCTGCAGCCCTCTCTGCAGCCTCGTCTCATGTGTTCCCAGCTAATACATGACAAAAGCTGACAGGCTCCTGCTTTTGTGAAAAATGTTAAAGAATCTTTTCTGGCGCATGAAGGGAATTCATTTATTCCCATGAAAAGCAAAGATCACAGGCCTGTGAAAGCCTGGGGGGAGGAAAAGGGACCAGGAACAGGTTTTGTTGCTGCTCTCAGAGGACAAAGCTAGGGAACAGCAAACTCTTCCAGGGTTTCTGCCTTGTGAGGCTCAACAGCTTCCAGCAAAAAGGGCATTTCGTGTTTTTGGAGCTGTATTCTGGATTTTCCTGGGAGTGAACCAACCCTGTGAGGCTCAGCTCTCTCCCTGAGTGCCTGAAGCCCCAACTCACCCACATCCATGCTGGATTCCCCCACTACACAGGGCTCTACTGTGAGCTAAACTCTATTTCTTCAGCTACATCAAGGAGAATTTTAAAGTGGAGATATATTCCCACTTCAGAATATATGGAACTGGTGGAACTGGTTCTGCTTCTTTCTCCTTCATTGTCACAAAATTCTTTTCATCTCAAACACACCAACTCCAGCTCCTCTGAGCCACAGATTTTTCCTGACTGATCTTTTCTCTGGTTTACCACCTGCTACTGAAGGGTTCTTTCCTCTCTTTGTTGAGTCTCCCCAGGTTGTGTTTTTCTCTCTGTATTTTGGCTCCAAATCTGCATTTGACTCAGTGAGAAAGGTTTTTACGCAAAGTCCATGTAAGGTCATACACAAATAATGGGTAGAAATATAATATTCAGAAAACTTATTTTGAAAACAAGTGGAAGGTGCTCCTCCTGTCCACAGCAGCCCAATAGGCTTTCAGGTCCTTCCAACCCAAACCAGTCTGTATTTGATGACTAAAAGCTGCAGAGAAAACAGATCTAATTCAACCAACCCAAACTTCAGTTGCTTTATAAACATCACCCATGGCAACTGCTTTGAAGTGTGTCCCTTCAAACTGGAATGAACCAGATTTGATAAAAATAAAAATCTTAATAGAAAAATAACAACTTACAGAGGTCTCTCCACTTCAAGCATTAACAAAAAGGAATATTAAGTCTTTGAAATTCTGTGTTACAAGCTGAGATGGCATGTTAAATATTTGCAATGAATGTGAAATTAGAGAATCATCTGCTGGCTTTATTCACAGCCTGGCTCTAGGTATTTCTTATTTCAAAGGTGAAGAAAGCCAGCTTTCTGGCAAAATAATGATAGGGAGTTTAATCAAAGCCGTAAGCAGCATTCAAGAAAATACAGGGCAGGAAAACAGTTTTTCTCTCCAAAATACAGGACTGTATATTTACAATTTTGTTTAGAAACTATACCACAGTGCATGCAGTGTTACATGGGAGCTGTCATTAAGTCAGTCCCCAAAGATGGGACTTTGCAGTCCCTAGGATTCACTTTGCTGCTCAGGTGACACAGCAGGTTTTGCAGGTGCAAGATTGGCAGGAAAACCCTGTCAAGGTTTTTTTCCTGTGTGGTGAGATGTGACTCTTTTGCAAAGGGGAGCTTTGGCAGACAGAACTGCAGCATGTTTCTGCTGCAGGGATGCAGCATTAGGGAATTTGTGTATTTTAACATGGTAGAAAGCAAAAACTCACGGTTTAAATGGAGAGATTTGGAAAGCAGGAGTCCCTGTGGCCTTAGAGCAAGGACTGAGCATCCTGGCAGCACTGGCCTCATTGGGTACAGAGCTCTGGCAGCACCTGCAGCAGCAGGAGCTGGGCACCTGAGCTAGGGAGAGAAGATTTTCTCACTAAGCATGATCTTGTGGCTGCTGCAACCCCCTGAGGGGTCATTTCTCTTTGGCTGGAGAATATAAGGTCTGGACAGGATGTGTCTATGTTAGCAGCATTTTCTCTCTCTCACACATGAGAATTTCTCTCACTCTTCATTGTGTTGTTAATAATTTTAGCTCCTTTTTGGGTACAAGCACCTTGTTGTGGCAACTCGTCTCTCTGTCCCACCTGCCTTCAGCTCTTCCAGAGCAAACACATGAGCTTCCAATTTATTCAACTTCCAGGAGCTGATGATCCCCATGAGTCCCACTCAACTCAAGGTAGTCTAAGATTTACTCTCCTTAATTTCCAAACATCTTCAAATGCTCCATTTAAGCCAATAAACTTCAGCAGTGATTAATACCCAACTTTGATAGTGTGGTAGCACCTTCCTTACCTTCCTCAGCCACCACTGTGAGGGTCACCACGTTGCCTGCCTCCTTGATGAGCTGCACAATGCTGTCATGGGAGAGCTCCACAATGGACTGGCTGTTTACCGCTGAGATTCTATCACCCACCTTCAGCTTCCCACACTGGTCAGCTGGGCTTCCCTCGATAACCCGCCCGATCTTGTGAGGAATCACTAAGAAACAAGAACAGACACAGCACCATAAGTATTCACAGAATTAAGGAATATCCTGAGTGGGAAGGGATCCACAAGGATGAAAATCCAAATCCTGGCCCTGCACAGGGCAGTCTCAAGAATCCTACCATGTGCACATCAGATAAGCATCACAGACCCAGAATTGCCAGTCACAGAATCACAAAATATGCTGAGTTGGAGTGACCCACAAGGATCATCAGCTCCTGGCACTGCAGAGGACATCCCAAAATCCAAACAAATCCCACCCTATGCCTGAAGAGTGTTGTCCAAACACTGCTTTAGCTCTGGCAGACTTGGGCCTGTGACCACTTCCTTGAGGAGCCTGTTCAGTGCCCCACCACCCTCTGGGGGAAGAAGCTTTTCCTAATATTCAGCCTAACTCTCCTCTGGCACAGTTCCAGCTGTTCCCTTGGTCCTGTCACTAGTCACCACAGAGCAGAGATCAGTGTTTGCCCCTCCTCTCCTGCTCCAAAGGGTGAAACTGCTTGTACAGGACAAACCAGCAAATAATGAAGAATGCTTCATTGTGAGCGAATGGAGATACCAACCCAACACCATGGCCTTGTCAAGTACAGAGTGCTGTGCCTGAAGGAAAACAAGGGAAGGAAATGGATCACATCTGCAAAGGGATGATTGAGAATGTGTGGCCCTGGAGTGCACCAGAACAATTGGTTTTACCATATATAATGTAGTTTTCCATTTCATGCATTGACCCTGACAGACAGTGTGGGCTCAGAGAGAGTTATGGCCATCCACTGCAACACAGAGATTCAGATGCATGGGCAAACTCTTCTTACATGCAAACAAAAATTAACCCTCAGACACACTTCAAAAATCTATCAAACTTCTTCTGCCAGGGACTGATTCAGTCAGGTGAGGACCGGAGAGAGCCTGTGCAAGGCCAGCAAGGTGCTACATCAGCTCTGCACAGACCTGACCACTTTTCCTGGTCTCTCAGATGAATATGCACTTGTAATAATTGTCTAAATTTCCTCCAGCTCTCCTGCCTCGATTCCCTCAGTTCACCCCAGAGTGACACCGTGCCCTGCACAGACTCCTCCAGAAACCAAAGCTATGGGGCCAGAATGGACAGACTGGAGAATAGAAGAGATGTTAGGAGAAGTAGAAGGAAAAAAGACCGATTTCAGTTCTTTCCCCAAAGACGAGCACAGAGGCAGAACTAGAGACAACTACGCCTGAGCCGTGTCCATATCTCACAACTGCAATACCAGATCAGACTACTTTTTCATTTTGGTGATCTTTCTAGACAAACACACTCCAAGATGACAACAAGTTCATTGTTTTCCACCAAATACTGTACACTCTACTTCCTCAGATCCCCAAAATAAGAATTTTTACCTGATTAGGTAATATAAAGCCAAGGTTGAAACTATGCTTCTATTAAAATGTCAATGAATTAATGCAACATCACTACAGCCTGACAAATATCTACATCCTAAATGCTGCCCTGGGACAAGTGCACACTCTTGGGTATGGGTTGTGTGAGACATAAATTCCCTTTTCCCCATTTATGTCACAGCTGGGTGAACAAGAGCATAAATATGAAGAAAGACAGACCAACGCTCAACTGGCTGGGCTGTGCCAGCATGCGTGAAAGTTGACTATGAGGGAAACGTCAGCACTGCACGGGAAGAGGTATCTGTGGAGAAGCCCCAGTGAGGTTAGGCAGAGGCAGAGGCACCAGGACATGGGACTTACCCCCTGGAGGAGGTTTGTTCTTGGAGGTGAGAATGACGAAGCCAAATCCTTCATTCTCCTTCCGCTGCAGACGGACGTCGTAGACCTCCGGGCATGGTTGGTTGGCAAAGTCAACACGGCTCAGCCGAGGAGAGCTGTTCTGTGTCAGGACAGGTTGTGGCTCCTCCTCCTCTGCCTGCTTTTCCCCTTGCAGGGAATAGACAAACAACAAATAAGGAACAAATCACACAAAGCAACTTCAGCACAACCATGAAGCTCAGTTGTCAGTACCAGCACGAGGTGGCGACAGCAGTTGCTAATCAGAGCAGGGGGTCCTTGTCAGCTGTAAATCCCACCCCAGCTTTGTCATTCATGGAGTCACAGACTAATCTTCTCTAAAGTGTTGATTTGGACACTGATCTAAAACTGCAGCATCTCAAGATCTTGCTCTGAAACAGCTCTCATTTGAATACAGTTCATCTTCCTACACACTAATGCTGAAAGACTTGAGAATACAGCATATGGAAGGTGCCCCTGCCCATGGCGGGGCATGGGACAAAATGAGCTTTAAGGTCCCTTCCAACCCAAACCATTTGGGGATGTTGAGAAAACAGACTGCATTATAATGCAATTTCCATAGCACTAATGGCTGTTCTAACTACTACCTGCAAAAAGGTTTGAAGAAACCACCCCTGCATCATCATTTTCAGAGCCTTACCTGTGTGAGCAGTGCAAGCTAGTGAGCAACAGAGTCCAAGCCTATTAAATTCTGCTTTTCTCCATTTAATAGTTATAGCTGACCCTCCTCAATCTCGGGCTGCTCAGCCCCAGTGCAGTAATTAAGTTCCAGAGCAGCTTCAGTAGATTTGATTACAAGCCCTAAGTGCTCTTTCTAGGCAAGCAGACACCTACCACTGAAGAAGATCTTCCTCCGGACAGTGAGCAGCACCTGCCCATTCCGAGCGGCACTGGTCATTAAATCCAGAACTTGCTTGTGTGACTTCCCTTTCACAGGGACTCCGTCAATGCACATCAGCTCATCCGCTGCACGCAGCCTCCCGTCCTTTTCCGCTGCTCCCAATGGGATTATTGCTCCGATATAAATCTGTGAGCAGAGTCCAGGAGTTTGAAAGGGAACGTGAGTTCATCAGAACACACAGTGGTTGGAATCCAGGTGAATCTGTGCAGAAGAGGTCTTTTGGGGAAGACTCTTAAAGATTACCTCACTGTCCAGCTCAAGCAGAAATGCAGCCAGCAATTGTACTCTGCACAAGCTGATCTAGTGGAGACAATCTGGAGTCTCAAAACATTCACTAAATACTTCAAAAGTCTTTAATCTATATTTTAATCAGTTCTTCTCTCCTGAGCATGTTTTCCAGTTTATTAGACAGCTCAGTTTTTGAAATGAGCACACACCACGTACTTATCATATATATGATTTCCTAGACATTTATGACACAAAAACCTCTGACGTTCATTCTATTTTTATTTTTTTTTACCCAGAACTGAGGAAGAATGACTGGGGAAGAAATAAAAGCTTTTGAACAAACTCAAGTTTATTTCTGAAAAGTTGCTTATAGACAGTTCCACTTTTCAAGATGCTTCAATTCTCAGCTTTTGGTAATTAGATAATGAACTCAAACATCAACAGTTCTGCCTACCCCCCACCTCAAAAAGTGCTACTAAATATAATACAGAGAAGAACACCACACTCAATTTGACATTCTACAATGACTTTCAACTAAATTGAAGATTAAGGGTAACCACAGCTAGTACTGCTGGAGGTTAAGAATGGTGGGCAGTTCATCAGTACACAGCACTCAAGACATCAGCTCCGCACTTCCTAACAGCTGTGGGTGTTATGGAAACCAAACACCACAAATGCTATAAAGTGCAACAGAAGTAACATTCTCTGGGTTTGCTCTTTACTTTAAATGAATGTTAGTGACGGAGGAAGAAAAACAAAAAAAAAAAGGCTAGCACTGGATCACAGCTGGGAATGGAAAAACTGAATTCCTTCACTGTAATCAGAAAACAATCTACGCAGATCTATTCCAAAAGCTTTTTCTCTCCAGTTAAACAGCTTAAAGAAAGGTCCCTGATATACAGTACAAGAGTTAGAGCTTCTTCCCAAAGAGAAATGTATGCACGTTTGAAAATAGAGGAGAGTCTCCTAAAACCTGCCCTTGGAGAACAGACCATCCAGGGGTGTTTGTTCTGGCATTTGACCAACACTGCCTCTAACATAATGCATGCTTAAAAATCCAGCAGGAGAAGCAAGGAATAGACGTGGTGTGTCACCATCTCAAACCTCGTTTCACTGGGCTGCAAGGAAAGGAACAGCCTAATGAAATTTTGACTGGAGGAGCAACTGCTTCCTTCCACTCAGCTGCTTCCCAGGATTCGCTGCTGTGCACAGCTCACCAATGACTGATCACCACTGGGATCAGGAGACAATGGGCAAAGGCTGGGGACCAGCACAGCCCTTCCAAGGGCTCCGAGACACAGCAACAGCTGTAGAAACACCACCAGTGTCCTCGGCCCGACAAAAAATGCGGTCAAGGACGGGCTCAGTAGTGGGAAGGGTGCAGAACCTTGGAGACTGGAGTCCACAAAGATGGGAAAAAATAAAGGTAATGGGGACCAATTCCTGATCTCTGAAAGGCAGGTAGCGAATCGATCAATTTTGCCATCACTGAACTGCCTGGATGGGATGATGGGAAATGACGACAACAGAGTAGGATCATTCCAACAGCAATGCTATGAGATAACTGTGAGCAGTTTCACTTACAGGCTGATCTGGTCCGTCCCCACCAAGCACCCGGAAACCAAAGCCTGACTCTTGTTTTCTCAGGAAAACATCTAAATCTCTTGTGTTTGAAGCTAAGAAAAAAAACAGTATTTCAAAATATGTAAGGAACTATCTTGGATTATTGAGGGATTCTTGAAGGATTATGCTTTGGTGGTACACTCTTGAGTCTTCAAGTGACAAAACACAGTAACCAGAAATACAGTGATAGTCTCTTTTCAAAACGGTATCATTAATTTTCAAAGCAGAAATCTCAACTACATCTGTGCAGCAGACCAGGATAAAAGCCACTCTGTAACACAACTCAGAACTACTTTTATAAGCAGGTTTGCTGCAGTTTACTTCAGAACCATCCTTGACATTATTTCTGCAATTAACTGTTTTACTGAAAATACGGTTGAAACATACTTTATCTTTTTTATTTTTCTGACTGCTGTTTGAATTATGCATTACTTGAAATGTTTTATCCACAGCAGGTTAACAAACTTAGCAACAAAGTCTCAGTAGTTTTACTGCACATGCAACAAAAGAAAAAATTCCTTCATAACTGAGTATTTTCAAGTTGAATATGATGTACTTACGTTTGTCCTCATAAATTGTCTTAGACTTCAGGTAGACTTCAGACGGGTCCAGTTTAGGAGAGCCTGGTCGCACAGCAGAGGGCGGGAAGGGCATCGGCTGCGGAATGGTATCACTGACAGCTTCCAAACTCCCAGAACTGTCCTGCTTGTCCTTCTGAAACAGTCCACAGATTAAAAAAAAAACACATTAAATAAAGGCATGACTACACTTGTGGGTGCAAAGACAATGAACACCATGCAGAAGAAAGACACAAGAACAAAGGAACAAAATTACAGCTTTTCCATTGGATATGTCTGACCAGAGTACTAAAGTCTTTCTCACTGGTACATGAATTTCTACTGGAGACTAGGCTTGGAAAGAGTTTGAAGTGACTGATGCTCAGAGAGGAGTGAAGATGGGCAGATGCTGGTAGTTACCAACACATGGGATGAAGCGGGGCATAAAGGACTGATAACATTTGGAGAAGACACCGAATCCTCGTCAGGTGCCTGCCAGGCTCTGGACCACAATCCAGCACCATAGGCACACACTGCTCCACAGGCACTGCCTCCTGTCCTCTGCCAAGCTCCTCTCCACAAGCACCAGAGGTGCTCCCGGCATGAGCTGTTTGCTGAAACAATATACATATGGGGCTGGAGGACACACCTGGGTAGTGTGAGGTATTAACAACTCACTATTTGCCTTTGCATGATCTGACAGCTGCAACACTCTTGTTCATGAGGCAAGGACACCAAACATCCTTGTGATCCCTCATCTAAATCCCCAATCAATTATGCAACAAAATAACTCTAAACATTTCTTCTGAGCTGAAACCCAGCCTGGAAAACTGGCACATGGCAGTGCATGCTAAACCACAGCAGGAGCAGAACAGACGTACATCTGCCCTTTCACCAAGAGCAGAAGAAACTGCCCAGAGCCATTCAGCAGTCTGACACTTCTTGTATGTTTATAAACACAAGAACTTGCCCTTTTAAAGTTAATTATTTTGCCACGCTGCTTAATGCCACTGAGCATCGAGCACTCTGTGGGCTGTTGCTGCTGTATGTGTGCTGGAATAGAATGCCAGTCCCCAAGTCCAAACTATTTTTAGCACATTGCCCTGGGATCCATGCTGACAGGGCCAGGGCCCTCCAACTGCAGGGATTTCTGCTCTGATTTATTCAGTGCAGGCAGGTGGATGCTTGCAAGGAATTGAATCTGAAGATCTTACTGAGCACAGTCATCTCTGAGCATGCTGAACATGTGTGCTTGTGTCATTCCACTGCTGGGATACAACTAAGGTTGCACTCAAACAGCAGGATAAAGATAGAAAGAGAAGTTACAGCTATGTTCTGGTAATGGGGTTTTCATAAATTGCCCTGATATGTTCTGTACAAGAAGCATTTTTAAAGAAGTATCTGTGTTTGACCAGCCTAATTTACAACAGAAACCTTCATAATAAACGTAAGCATTAATATCACCAATATTAAATCAGAGGTTGTTCTATAAAGACCAAGAATTCTTTACTGAGCTAATATATATTAAAGATGCCCTGACAGATCAAACTTCCAAGAGCAATGAGTATTGAGCTAGGAATGTACAGCTCCATAGAGACTTGCTGAAAATATGGATCTATGAAAAGCATTTCCAGCCCATTAATTCTATGTGAGGATTGAGAAGAATCAAAGGATCATAAACTTCCTTTAAGAATGAAAAAAATAGGTGCCATATTTTGTTTCCCTTTTAATGGGTACTTTTAACAGCAGGTACTTTGACAAAGAATTTATGCCTACCAAGCAGATGTGGTTTTGCTAAACCATCTTACAGGTTATCACAGGGACTAAAATCCAGAGGAAATGAGATTACAAAGCAGGTCAGAAACAAGTTAAATACATCACCAATACTCACTCCTTTGGCAGCTTTAGTAGGGGAGGGTGGACCTGAAGAAAATAGAAAGTAGCTTTAACAGCAGGTTACAAGAAGTTTCAACAACATTTCAGCAATATAATTCAGCCGCCTCTGGGGTGAAAATAACAGCAGCTGATTCACCATGCTTTTAAATGGCAAAGTGACCAAAACCATCACTTTAGCAAAGTCTCAATTAGAACTGAAAGCTGTACAACAATGAAAAATATCTATTTCTCTTTCTTCTAGAAGCTGGTCAACCAAGTCACCCCTCAGTTCATAGGATAAGGAGACTCATGAATTTGTCTGAAGGAATTTCACTTGCCATAAAGAAATCTAATTATTTCCTTAGCTGATTAAGGAACAGTAGTATTTATACAGAAAAAGATCCAGAGATTTTTGCAAATGCCAGTGGCTGAAGTCAGCGTTACAATACAGCCTGAAGGGACACTGAGCAGCCACAAGCTGCCTCATAATCCATTCAGATTCATCTTCCTTTGAAAGACACACACTATCTACCACAGTTTTTGGGGAGAAGATGCATTCTGGTCTGTGACTGACCATGAAGGAAGAGGTGTGAAGATGCAAAGGAAAAATCTGAATTTTTTCTGCTATTCCCAGTGATCAGCCCCACCTCTTTGCTAATGCTTCTTCCCATTGCCTGCAATTCCCTGTTCACTACAGACACAGTTACTAGAATATATTTGGAGAACCTCACAAAACTCAGTCCATCATATGCTTTGCATTATACTGGAGACCACGTGTTTGCTTTAGCACTCCCCAGAGACTTGGAAGAGACAGTGCATAAACATGTCACCATATAATTGTTGAGGAAAAAAAAAAAAACCCAAAGAAAATAACTAAAACTTCGAACAAAACCCCAGCAACATGCTGTCACCCTTAATGGTCAGGGGTATAAATCAAACTTAGAACATAATGGCTCAGAGATATAATGAACTGCTGCTTAGCTGTCAAGACTGGACACTATTTAGATATTACAGTAAAATAGGACTTTTAAAAGCTTATAACCTGTATGACAACTGCAATTTTGTCTGTACCTCCTCTTAAGATAAGCAGGGGCACCTCCGCTCCTACTGGAAACTGCTTGAGCACCTCCACCACCTGCAAGTGGGTCAAGTTCTGCACATTCTGATGGCAAATCTCCTTGATGACATCCCCTTTCTGTAGGCCTTGGCACCACTGGCTGTCCAAAATCATCTTCACCTTCTGGCCTGTGGGACTGTCTGCAATGGCAAACCCAAAGCCTTTAGGCCCTTTGACCAGAGGGATGGTGACCAGCTCCGGCTGAGAGCCTCCTGAGGAGGCAAAGGAGACCCTCTGCTCTGCTGAATCCACAGAAGGGCCGTTCAGGCGACCGTTGACCAACACTTTCCCATTCTGGTCCAACACAACTGTGGCTGCTACTAAATCTTGGCTGGACATGGAAGCATCTCCCTTGGCCACCGGCAGGCCATTAATGACAGGTGTGGCTGTCATGATATCCACCACGGGGTCTTCGTTGTCATCAGGAAGAGGGTACCCACGACACAAAGTCATGTTCACATACTGATTGATGGGAATGAGCTGAAACATCTGGACAACATCTGCATGGGTATGGCCAAGGACACAGCTTCCATTAATGTCCACAATGACGTCGCCTGTTACAAAAGAAATTTTGACGGTGTCAAAAACAGAAGCGGAACCTTCAACAAAAGCCCACCTTGAAGAAATCGCAGTGCTGTCTTCAAATTAATAACTAGTGTCTGAGATATTACCTCATGGCTAATATTGCCAAAAAGCATAAAGGATTTCCTCTTTGCATTTATTCTATTTCATCTCAGGACACAGTGCGCTAAATATATAAAGTTTAATCTGCAGCAGATTTAAAAAATGATACTGTACAGTCACGGGAGATGAAGCAGAGCACGCACGCTACAGCAAGCAGACGTCTTCTACTTTAATTCATATTGCAGAGCATCCTAAACCCAATGCAGAATAAATCGGATTTTTTTGGCCCCATGTTTATTTTAGGACTGGCTGAACTTAAGCTAGGATTGTGCACACACACATGCTCCATACTCTTACAGCTGCCACATGTGACTATGAATGCATTTCCAAAATGAAATTACGTGGGCTTCAGATCCCAAAACCTTGTTTCATGTTTTCATAATTCTGATGTGAAACTTTGCATGTGAGGTACAGTATGCCCTATCCCTTTAATGCCCAGGCATCAGTAAAACAGGATCTCTCTTATTCCATGAACTACAATCGGAATAGCTGCACATCTTCTCATTCCAACAGTTCTGCAGTATTGTTTTCATTTTTGCAGAGGTGGAAAATGAACCACATACAAAGAAGTTCAAACAATACATCAGCAACAAAACAGGAAATTGTTCCATTTTGTAAGTAAAATACTATTTATCATTCAAAGTATGAATTCTTTTACCCATTTGAAGAGTTTATGTTATACGTAAAGAAGCATTTTGCCCTTTCTAATATGCAAACCAGATGTTATGGTAAGGTTATAGGTAACTTAATTACACACATAATAACCATGAAAAAATGCGCAAGTCTTCATGGGTTGCTCATCCCTCTTCTCTCCTCACTTGTCCGGCTCACACAACTTTGCTTCCTCACTCCTGTGGGCTTTTTGCAGTTTTAGTAATCCGTGTCACGGTTTTTGGTAGCAACAAGACAAAACAGACCAGGATTCAAACACACTATTTTTACTTCACTTACAGAGAGGAAAACCATTCTATGAATAAACATGAAGACCAGTGTCTTTGCTAAAGCAGAAGTACTGAAACCTTCAGAAGTGCCTTTAAAGTCAATTTTTATCTAGAATGCTGCTTCTTTTCCTTTTCAGCCACTGCTCTGCACAGATCTTTCACAAATATGAAAATATTTTATTTAGCGAGGATGTGGATGGAGTTGTCCAACCTCCTGTGCCTCAAAGCTGTGTTCTCCAAAGTATCCCAGGAAATGGAAGTTTACAGAAATAATACTTGACCTGGAGCAATTCTTCCATCTTGTGCAGCGGGTCCATCTTTTAACACATTCTTCACCTGGAGAAACTCATCAGGCCTGTCCCCTCCAATGATTGTGAAGCCGAATCCCATGGTACTTTTTTTCAGGGATGTCCTTATAAGTGCTCCAGTAAGCTGGGATGGATCTTGAGTGAAGACAGACCTCCCTGGCCCTTTGGAATTATGGAATACAGAGTCAGGAGGGCAGAAAACCAGGGTTAGTTCTGGTAAATGTTTTGTTTATTTTTAAGGTGTCACAAAGGTTAATTTGTTTATTGTTGCTCAGCTTCTGAAGCAGTTTTAAAGGATAAACAAACAGACAGGAAAGTGCTACACTCATTTTCCAGCTGAATTCAGTGAATGGAAAAGAGTTTTTCTGAACAGGTTGCAACAGAGCTGTATGCAAACCTCCCACCTCAAATTCCCAATTTTTATCCTTGAATACCAAGCTTAAAGTAGATCAAAAGCATACAAACTCCAGGTGCAGCTTTACCTGCACTTCCAGATGGCTCTTCTAACCCTCCGTATATTCCAAAGCTGTTTATGACAACCAGCTTCAGAACAACCAAAATTATTTAAAAGCAGTCTTAGTGCCTTGGTTACATTTTAACATGAAAAAATCCCTCAAAAAACCCAAAATATATTGGAGGGTAACACTGTAATGGCTAACAAAAAGACAAGGCTGAGGCACTCATGAATTCCAGAACTGGATTTTTACAAAGCATACTTGCAGATAAAAGATATATGTGACAAAGAACACAATATTCAGTGATACCTGATTTGGAAGGGCCAGCATCAGTCTGTCCTAGCTGCTTTTTCCTTTTGGCTTCCAATACTGGATTTTCAAACTGAGTTTTCTGGTTAATATGACTGCAGGCATACAAAAGGTAGATCAGGATTTCAACAGAAAACATTCTGACTACTTCCCAAAAAAGACAACCCCAAAAAATACATCTACAAACACTACTTTTTATTATGTCAGATGAATGGTCTGGAGAAATGAACGAAAAACCTCTCATAACCAATACTGAAAGTATGTTCATTCTTTCAGCAGCTTACTTACTTTGAGGCAAATCAAATTTTACTTCCTTTAATCACCAGGCAGAGTTGATCTGAGCAAACCTGCTTTTTCTCTTGACCCTTCTACCTATACTGTTTACAAACTTAGGCATCAACTTTTCCCTAGTAGATGACAGAAAAGTACAGCATATGAGGGGAAAACCAACAAATTTGAGCATAATTCAAATACCTTGGCTTTGCTAAGTGCAAAATGTTTGCTTGTTCTCTGAAGCTACATTTTCAACTCTACCATTTTTCTTCTCCATGGTTAAGGAGAGATTTCATTTCCTCTGGCTGAAGGAGATTCAAAAGAGCTCCTGCGGCAGTTTAGTGGTTATTGACTTGGCTCTTTGAAGACAGCAATGATCTACAAGTTAGTTTTACTCTTTTAAAGTTATCAGGTGCCATTCTTAAGTCAAGTGACTCTGTTTTTGTTAAGCTAAGAAAAATGACATCAGCTCATTTCCATCTATAAATTATTTTGATTGCAACTTGCTTTCCTTCCCCGAATGAAAAACAGTCCTGAAGTCTTTAAGTCTGTGGATTTTCCCACATGCCAGCGATACCAGAAGTTTGTGCCATGAGTTTGCGACCCCAGAGATGTTTTTTCTGGATATATTTAATAGTTTCACAGAATCACAGAATGTTTTGGACTGGAAGGAACCTGAAAGCCCATCCAGTTCCAGCCCCTGCCATGAGCACAGATACTAGACCAGGTTGCACCTAGCCCTGTCCAACCTGGCCTTTCACTGCATTACAATCTCTACTTACTGGGGATCAAGGACTTCAGAATTTCATGCTCAATTTTTATGTATGCCAAATCAATAATTAGCACTTACTCAACGTAATATGTCCCATATTGAGGGTCTTCTATTTTCTCCCATCCATATGGAAGTTCTGCAATCAGAAAGACCGAATTCTCCATAACAAGGGAAAACTATCCACAAATATCACAGTTCTTATTAAAGAACACCTATGCTCATGAAATATATGAGGAAAATACAGGTCCCATTTTCTTCCCTGATGAAAGGTAAAAGCCTGTTCCAGGGAATCTGAAGCCCAGCAACTCTTACTCTTTCTTGCACTAAATGATGAGCCTTGTATTCAATGAAATCACACCACTTTAAACATATAAGAAACTTAAAGACCTGTTTGTACTGAAAATTACCTCCAAAAGGCTCCTTTTTTATGGCAAATTCAGCATCTGGTAAGAGAGACCAAGCAGCTCATGACTGACTGAAGGTAATAAGCAGTTACCACAGAGGTCAGCTTATCAAGTTTATTGTTCTAGTTATCTTGACCGTGGAAATTTAAATATTAGAATAATTAATATAGTCAGCCAGACATTTTAAGGATAAACTTGCCCTGCAATCTTGTTTGAGGCTGCCCTAAGTTTGACAATAACAGGATTTCCCCAGCATATGACAGCATATGACAGCAATTACTAATACCAGTATTGCTCCACAGGGTCTGACTAAAGACCCAGTGGGTCTATTAATTTAACTATTTGTTTATTTGGATATCCTGCATCTCTATTTAAAGAGCTGCATATATGTTTAATAAGCAGCAGTATGCAGCCATTGCTCCAGCTGGCTTCATTATGGATACATGGCTGTTAGGCTGGGCAATTTTGGAGGATGACAGGTCATTCTGAGGCTGCTTCAGCTTTTGGAACATGTCAGGCATTTGCTGAAGACAGACCTACCTGATACTCTTTTCTAGCAGACTAAATTCACCAACTGTGTAGCAAATGGTTGCAGAAATTGCCTGCCTGGAGGCTACTGACCTGGAAGTCTTGAAGGCATTTAAATCAGTCAGATTGTTCCCTTAGCTTCTGCATTCAAATACTATGTCACATGCAATAGTTATCATTAGCAATATGTATTTTGCCATACCTTCTTTGTTATTCCTATATTCTGTTACTTATGGACCTTCTCCTGCTATATTCCATCTATACAACAATTTCCAATGAGATCATCACTCATGTGAAGCTTCCTCCTTAAGAATGACACTTACTGGAACAAAACATCTCATATTCTGCTCAGGAATGCAGATAAACCTTCCATCTGGCCAGATTCTACTACTCCAGGGAAAATACACCACAGACTTTCCTAGTCTTATGTAAATTCCTATTGCCACCAAACAGGGGACACTCAGCACTATGCTGCCAGCTCCAGAGTCACATCTAGCAGGGAGAAGCTTCTACCACAGAAGTAATCGACTGTATCCATCTGGGATAAACTCATACATTTATCAGTGGCAGGTGACAAATGCATTCTGAATATCTCACCTCCATCTTCACAATCTTCAGGAGCTTTGGCCTTCTTACAGAGTCGGGGATCAAGCCATGTGGTTGTCTTGGTGTTGTGACTGTGGAGCAGAACACATGCCAGTAAGAGAACTCCCTCACACTGAAGAAACTTTCCTTCAAGTATTTACTATTGTAGAAAACTGTAGGCTTCAGATAATACAACCTTTATTTGTGCCTCAGTCACATAATAAAATACTAAAAAGAAAAGGCACCAGCACACTGGAGACTCTCCAGGGCACACAGGAAGTGTTAGAGGCACAGATCCTCCCCCCAGCCCCCAAAAGCTCATATGGGAATAGCAGCTGTTTCTACCTGATAGGAAAAAAAATATTTTTAGCCTCCTCATATGCTACACTCTCAGGAAGGTTTCTGTTTCATTTTTGCCTTAGGATTTATAGACGAGGCAGTTTTACATGTGCACATATGAGCTACTTTTCTATCCTGGGCTTTCATCTGGGCTATTTGTATTTTGAAACATCCATTCCCTTCCAAGGAACACAAGCAGAGAAGAAAAGCTAAACAAGGTCTCAAATTTCAGAGAAATTTGACATAAGAGAAGGTTTCCATGTCACACTTCACTTAGCAGTACTCAGCCAGCTTTGTATGTGTGAGATACAAAACTTAGAACAAACAAACTGAATTGCAGGTGGAACCACAGGATCTTCCTGCACAATTCCTGGCAATTGTACTGAACACACAACATTGAGGACTATGAGTAAGGAATGTAACAGCAGGAAAATAGCAAATTTCATAAAGAAATAGACGCAGCAAGAGAAGAAGAGAGGTGAAAGAGCAAGCTTTCCAGACTGCAGCCACCAGCACTGCTCTCCTCCAAGGAGCGAGTTACTCACTCGATGAAGTAGATCATGCCAGTGTCCGTGTAGGCCATTTCCCAGTTCTTGGGTAGTGGTTCCAGAGTCTCATCCCTTGACAAATAATTTCTGAAGTCCATGTTGCTGCTTGTCTGGTTGTAGCTGGGAACAGGTTTCATCCAGTCAGGAGAATCTGAATGTTTTTCTTTGTTTTCTGCAGTTGTTCAGGGAAAGTGTTTGTCAGATGCTTATGTTGTTTCTCACAAAGAACCACCCTCTTAATCTGGCTACGAGTGGATGTCAAACATGTCCCTCTATGTGATGTGCATTTTTTCACTTTTTTTTTCAGCTGTGAACTTTGAAAAGCTGACATGAAAAGACTGAACTCTGCTCTTCCCCTGCCAAACAGAATTAACCTTGTATTATGTGTCTGAGCCGACTTTGAAAAATCAACACTGGCAGAAATCCAAGTTGACTATGCTCTGTTGCCATTTCTACAGAGAGAACAGTGTTTGTAATGCCATAAAGCAATCAAAAAAAAAAAAATCCTACTAATATTCCCCAAAGAATCAGAAGGAAATGTAGAGAAGACACAAACTGCCAGTAAAATAAACAACACCTTCCTACAAGCCACAACTAGCAAAAAGATCCCAAAAAATCCTGCAGGAAACTTTAAATAGAAGCCTCTACCCTTCAGAACCGAGGTTATGCTTGATACCCGCTGTGACATGATGATGTCCGTGACCTTCACCCAACCACCAGCCTGACCACTGGCCCCTCTGTGGTGTTGCCAGCCCTGAAGATTACAAGATTAGGTCAGGTCTGGTCAGTGTAACTCTGTCCTAAACAGACACACAGGATCAGCTGCAAATGCAATGTGACAGTTCCTCTCCACCATCAATTCTCCCCCCTCCAGATGAGCAACCATGACAGCAAAAGGAAAAGGGCATCTTGCCAATCCCAGAAAGGTCCTGCTGGACACTGCTCCAGCCTCAACATGCTTGGCTTTGATTCTCTCCACGAGGTCCCCCTTAGGTGGTTTCAGGTTGTGTGATAGTTCCCCTATGCAAAATTATCTGAAAATTTTACAGTATGAGCCTATGTTGCCCCTTCTGAACCAATCACTTCCTTAAAATCTCCTGTGTACAAATTCAGTAATTGCCTCAAAATTCAACAGTAACATTTTCAGGGTATGAATTCTACTCTGTGAAGGATTCTGTTATTTCAAGAGTGGACAGATTTTTCCTTCCCGCTCATGTAACTGGCTCACTTCCAGCACCACATGTTCTTGACCAAGCAGTGCATTTTATGATGCAACTGCACATCTGGCTGGGAGAACAGCTGGTTCTTTTTAAAAGGTCATCTCAAAATCAAGTAGAAGCACCAGCCTGAACAGAAACTGCCTTCATACTTCACCAAAACTAAGGAAGCATGAATGTTTTTTGTACAGTCCTTATCCATTCATACAATACTCCAGGGAATTTCTCCCCTTGTCAACCAACCTATCCCTCCGCTGCCATTAACTGCTTCCTTTTCCTCCTCTTCCTCCTCTTCAGGGAGAGAGCTTTCCATCCTTTGCATTTTGCTGACAGATGTGGTTCTTTTCCTCTGCGATTCAGTATCAAAATCATTGTCAAAAAGAACTTGATCCACTGGATCTGGCTGAAAGGGGCTGGGCTCTGCTGGAGGCTTTGGAGTACCATAAAAATTACCTGAAAATGAGACAAAAGTCAGGATCACTGAAGCACTGATACTGCTGAAGGCACTAGCAGTGGCTGTTACCAGTTTAGTGCCCACGGAAACATATTTTGGTGAAATTTTAAAGCCTCAAAGAAGACATCAGCACTACCAAAGCCCAATCAACAATCAAGGCCTATTTATTCATACACTGACTTCTTGCTAATGCATCACTAGCTGTCAGAAAACAAGAGGTTACATGAAAACTATTATCCTGCTACAAGTTTCCTAAAGAAAAAGATGGATTTGGAGCAACAGAAATACTGAAGTCAAAAAGCAAATTAATTTTATGCAGACACGAGATATTTATTTCCATAAAAGAAGTTAATAAGTAATTTATTTTTAACACTTGCAATTTTCTACTGACAATACACTAGCGAAACAAAGATGTTGATATGGCTTCATAGCAACATCTTCATATCAATATGTTGATATTTTTACTTCAGAAAAAGGAACAAATTTTTCCTTCAATATTTTAATCTAAGCTACAAAGGAATCATCTGCTGTTTTCTGGAAAAAAATTTCAGCAATTGACCTTTCTCCTGACTGCTCATATGATTTTTATTAGGGCATTGAGCACAAAGCAAGGAAGCTTCCCAGAATTCCTGCTGGGGTAACTTTTGGAGCCTGGATATGGTTTTGACCATTTAAATACATATAGAAGGAAAACCCTTCTGCAAATATCAAGCAAGGGCAAGGCTCAGAGAGGGGAGAGCCAGATACAGTACAGCTCAGGAATAAAAAAAAAAGAAACTAGTTTAGCCTAAATTTGCTTAGGAGATTTCCACAGACCAGACAATATTAACAGATAGTGTCGGATAAGGAAAACAAGAGGCACAGAGCCTTTCACAGGATTGTCTACTTTTGATATCTTCTCTTCTTTTTTCACCATCTTCATTACAATGTTTTTCCTCACCACATTTAACAAACCCAGCTTTCGTACAGATTTGGACAATCTGGTCTAGTGCTGTTCAACTTCTCACTGAAAAATGCTTTTGTTTCCCTGCTGCGTCAGAACTTCTCTTGCCTTCTGTCTCTTGATGCACATCTGAGAGAAGAACACGGCTCTGTTCTCTGACATGTACACAAAATTGACTAAATTCTCTTATATTTGTACCAGGCACAAACAAACCTTTTTAGAATGCTTCCCAAAAGTGCAGCGGTGAAAATAATCTGGTGGGATTAAGAGTGGTTGAAAGGACAATCTGCAGATTATGAGAAAGCTTTAAAACAAGATCGCTCCTCCTCTTCACAGTAACCTAAAAATAGACTAACTATTGTCTCTCTACTACTGTCAAGACCATCAAGAAAGCAGGAAAACTGGTACCACAAGGAGCTACACTTGGACTAAGATCCTGGACACAAGTATTGGGTCCTTATTCCCATTCCATTAAACATCACTGACATACCATCATATGTTCCACTTTCTAGTAAGGCTCCACTTTCTTCCAACGCTTTAAACTGCTCAACAGGAATGAAATTATAGTCTACCCCAGGGACCTCTCCATCTCTGGGAGCCCTTGTAGTGCCTGCAAAGACAAAGAAAACACTCTTGTAAGACACTTAAGTGCTGCTTGTTACCAAATGCCGCCTGCTGCACAGTTCAGTAAAAACAATGTATTTTCAAATCTTTATACAAAGATGATGTCGCTCCAGTAAGAGTTAAAACAACTGGTGAGCAAGTGAACAATAATGTATAAAAACTGAGCCAGTAAGTTACATAGGAACAACACTTCTGGTATTGGGGAGGAGGAAAGAAGCAGCTAGGTGAGGTGGCAATTAAGAGAGAATTTTTTTCTTATAGTCAGTGAACCAAAAACAACGTTTGTGGCAGCTGACAACAACTGGGCCACGCAATCCCAGTCTGGGATTCTGGGAACAGCTGTGGTATTTTATTTTAACCCAGCTGTAAGAGTGCTGCATCTTTCCCTATTTCCACCAGCATCAACTCTCTAATTTTCAATGAGGTCATTATGACTAAGCACATTTGATTTTTGGGCCACCAAATCCATAACTCAGCACAGAATTTATTTTTTAACTTACAATTCAGAGTGTAATTCAACCACACTCCAACTCCTGGCTGTAGGTAAACTTCATCAGTAAATTGCTGTATTAATGCAGAGGTTCTCAAAGTGTTTTGTCTATGAAAACAGGCCTCCCATAGTTACAACAGCTTAATTAAAGCTCTCCTGAAAGGACTTCACTGATTCGTTACTATTCATTACTGCCTACAACCTAATAGCATTTTAAAAGCATGTATCATTTTTTTCAGGCAGCAGCATGAAAAAGAGCTAGTAAATAAAAGCTAGTAATAGTGAAATGCAGTTTAAGAAAGCCACAAACTCTCAGTTGTGCTCAGAGAGAAGACAGCAGAATTCCTGTAGATACAAAAACGTTACTTGACAAAGTAAGTTTTTAGTGCAATGAATATTTAAACAGCCAACGATGAGCCTCTTTAATCAGTCTTCTCAGGATGAGCAAACGGTCTGCCTGTACATTCTACCACTGTCACCCCTTCTGCACCCAACCTCTCCTCCCACCCTCCTGCCAGCTGCCCTGCTCTGCCAAATGCACTTGACACTCAAGGTCTCAGTTTGCTCTTTGTGAAGAAAAAACCACAACACATTGACAAAATTCAGGATGTTTTGGCACTGCTTGATCACGCTGAGAAAGATTTATTTCTTGTGGTGGCTGAGGTCATTCTAACAACTACAGACAAACTTGTGAAGAGCAACACACAGATATTACTGAAACAATCTGAACTTTGAATTCTCAAGTTTTTGCTGGTTTTCAGTCCATACTGGCTGCACCAATTCATAGCAACTTCAGATGTGAAGCTACTGCTGCAAAGCCAGAAGTCTCCACTACAAGGTAAAACGCTAAATTATATTAAGAGAGAAGGCATTTCAAACTCACAAATTATGTGGGAGTTAGCGGGAACAGATGAAATGAGGCTGATCTTTACATACTTACAAGGGATGGTTCTCAAATAGAGATTGTCTCTGATCACTTGCTGGAGTTTGTGGTCTATCGAGCCCTTCTGGAACTGAAGGCTCAGGTAGTGGCGCAAGTCCTTGTTGATGACTTTTCCTTAGGGAAAAAAAAAAAGAATAAATTAGAATAATTTGTAAAGCAGGATCTCACAATAAGAATTGTGTTTCACTGCTATGGAAGTTTCAGAAAAAGCATGGAGTTGGAAGAGTTGCGTTGTTTTAAATACAACAGCCTTGATGGAAAATACCATTTTGTGCTATCAAATCACAGAATCCCAGAATGGTTTGTGTCAGAAAGGAGCCTTAAAGCTCATCTTGTTTCACCCCTTGCCATGGGCAGGGACACCTTCCACTATCCCAGGTTGCTCCAAGCCCCATCCAACCTGGCCTTGAATGCTGCCAGAGATGGGGCAGCCACAGCTTCTCTGGGCACTCTGTGCCAGGGCCTCACCACCATCACAGGGAAGAATTTCTTCTGGCACAGAGGTTTTAAGCAGAGCTGACTAACAACCATTCCCCCTCATCTTCCGAACAAGACAGTGACAATATTCTGGAATTGTCTGAAAATCAATATAAAGTATTAAAATACAAAACCTATTAACAAAATTCAAAGTTTCTACAGACAAACTATTTCACTGTATTTTGAAGTAGTTTCCATTCAATTTACACCTTCTCACCAGTCACCTGACTTCAATATTTTGCCACATGGGAACTTGCATTCTTCAAATTATAAAAAGAAAATATTTCCTTCTTAAAAACATTGCATAATAGAAGGGAGTTGTGTTTTTTTACGATTACTCCTTTGCAATACTTCTGTCAGGTATCATTAGTGAATCTGTCACATCACTGGAGAACCATGGCCCTTCAGCACACAAATAACTCAGTTCTTGTATTACTGCCTCATCCTTCAGACAGGAGGGTACAAACCAATCTTTTGTACCCTGTCAGCCTACCAGAAAACACAGTAAATAGGGTTCAGTGACCTCGGTAAATTTAAGTTACGTACTTCAGCAGAACACTCAGGGCTTTAGGGAAAAAGCGCAACCTTTGTCTCCAAACCTAGAGCAGGAGATGGGCAGCAGCAGATGGATGCTGGTGTAGCACAACAGCAGGGAAAAAGGCTGGAACAGACAACTGCTCCTGTAAAATGACATCACCAACAGGTTACGAAATGCATAAACCTGCCTTAGAAGTATTGCTGACAGGAGCCTTTGAAGCCTGTGAGCTCAAAGTTGCTGAGGAGACCACTTCACACAGATCACAGACCCCCAGAGCAGTCCTCATACAAGGCCCATTCACCTACATCTTCAATCAATTACTTACATATACTTACATATATGTCAAATTTGGAAAAAATCCCAAACCATCAAAACCCTCCCACCACTAACCAAGTTTTCCCAACACGTGTCACTTCTGCAAAGCTGGCTGCATGTTTTTGTTGCGGCAAGTTTATACTTTGCCTTCCCTTTTAGCCAAGGTGAGGGCATTCCACATCTTGTTCTCAACTCTTAAACAGGACCTCAGCAACCACCACTCACCAACAACAAACTGAATTTCAATCTGCACCCTCTTCCCTCCAAACAAAACCACGTGCCACGATGAGTATTCCAAAGTGGAACCAAGATTACCTATCAGCCCTTCAGAGAGGTCAGTGATGTCCACAGATTAAGCAAAGCACGCACAAAATCACCTTAAACCCTCAGGCAAGGAGAGAATAAGCCCAGCACACCCTCTGAACAAGCAGCAGATCCTGTGCTGAACACAAGTCCTGAACTCCAAATGAAGTCAACTTCTCACCAACTTTAACAGCATCATTTATTTAAAAATTACTTCAAAACACACAAAAAACATTTTGCAGTATTAGGACAACACCTCAGCATTGTCCCTGTGGCTGTCCAGCAGTCACATAAGCAACAGCAATTCCCACTAAGGCAGTTCTCCATCCAAACCCTTCCCAGGAAGGCACAGCAACTCCACAGTCCACACCTCAATTCCCTGCTTTACCAGCATGAACTGTTCCTCATAAAACTTTGGATTTGCTTCCTGCAGCATAACAAGCACAACATGTCATGCAATATGGAAACAAATGGGGTAATCTCCAGAAAGAAAAGTATTTTCCATTTGTTACTACAAATTACTTTACTCTTTAGAGACAAGATAGTTCCTCAACATTAAAAAAATGTTTTGCTGCTAAAATGGTCCATCCACCTCCTTGTCAAAGCCAGATATGCACTTCAGCAATCCCAGCATATTTCACTTAGGCAGATCAATACACTTATATTTTGCTGAGGCAGATGGATCTGTTCATCAGCTACTTTCAGAGTACTGCACGTTGGAAAAATCAGACAATATGTGAGAATCTGTTCTGGGTGTAGAATTGTAGACTTTATTTACTCACTGATCTTTCCCTCCTTATGTTTAAAATTTTAAAAGCTTATAAACCCATTTCAGTAAATATCAACTCAGTTTAAAGACAAAATAAAGGCAAGGCTGCTACTAAGGATACACCAATACTGAGGGGTTAATATTAAAAGCTTAGAGACTACACTATACTGTGAGACCAAGATGACTGAATTGAAGACTGACAGGATTGCCTAGGGAAAACAGAGAAAAGTCAAACAAAAGAGTGAGCAGAGGAAAAGTTACAGAAATTCACACAGAGAATGGTGTGCATTAGAAAGCAGAAAAATAAAGTAATAGTAAGGATGCTTTAGGCAACCTCTGGCAAAAGATTATTTTCCTGCCAGGAGCTGAACATGCTTCTTTTACATTGCTTCACGCAGGCTTTTAGGAAAACCTCATGTACCAGCCTCTCCAAAATGACCTGATAAACGATGGGTTGGTGTCTGCTGTGCTGCTGAGCCGCTTGTAAAGGATGACACCGGCAACAAAGGGATCAGTCAAGAGGAATTATATACTTTATACCACTCAGGTTCTGCCAGATGAACAGGCACAAGCCTCTTGTTTTCAGTTTTAATTTAAATTAACAAAAATCACCTGTTTAGATGAGGATATGCACACTGGAGTTGGGGGAGAAGAGTTAAGTGACTGCAGAAAAAAAAAAAAAGGCTCAAGTGCCACTGCAATAATACACAGCATTGTGAATTAGGGAGACAAATTAAGGGGAGAAGGCGGGTTGGGGGTATGGCTGGTTTCTGGGTCCCAGTGCACGTAGCCAGGGCATGTCCAGCCTCTCATCCACCAAAAATAGCCCCCACAGTTCGAGGGCCGGGCAGGGAGGAGCTCTCCCGGCCCAGCCCGCAGTGATCTGCCGCCATCTCCTGCTGATCCCCTTAATTCCATCCCCCAAGTCTCCTCACTCCCCCCCCCCAGGGGAGTTTGAACAGCACAGGGTGAAAATTGCAGATATTACATACTGCGATGCAATTTTATTTTCTTAGAACATAGCAGAGGAGAAATGTAACCAGAGTATCATCACATACATTCAGAATTCTACACTGTGAACAGAATCCCAGAGTATCCAACAGCTCCGCTCAGCTCTATGATGGGTTACATAAGCTGTGGCAGCCATAGGCCACCGACTATGAAAACTCCAGTGAAACACATGTTAAGAGCTATAAAGCAGCTCCATGGCTTCACTCACAGTCTAACTAAAATAGGAATTCTCAGGGCTCATCAAGTAGAAAACAGTTACTGTTTAATTAAACTGGGCTGTCAATACACCCACTGAGATTAAGTGATTTTTGATGTGACTGAGCAACAGGCATTTAAAGAAATGTTCAGCTCCACAAACCAGGGATGCAGTGTTAGGAAAACCAAGCTAGAATTAGTGTGTAACACATTAGCTTTATTATATTCCCCAGCAGCTATTAACATACGATGATTTCACATAAATTCCAGATCTGAGCACATGCATTCAATGAGGACAATGAATGATTTCCAAGCATGCAAGAGAATCACTGTATTCATGAAATGTGGAGAGGCTGGAAAGACCCAGTGGTGACACAGCTGTCAGTACCTGCCATCCTTCACCTGCAAGTACTTCACTGTGACCTGGCAAATACACACCTATGCTCTCAGCACAAGGAGAAGGTGGGAAGTTCACATTATTATACAACTAACACAGAAAAGAGACTAGATCATTTTGAGAATGTCCAACCCAGTCAGCAGGTGCCTCCTCATTTTGTGGGTTAGAAGCATAGATGGATTCCCGTGCAGAAGCCTGCTTTTTCTTCAGGAAAGGGGGTCCACAGCCCTGGGATTTCTGAGGAGAAAGGCTGAGACTAGCAGCAATGCCTGGCAGCTTGTGTCCCAGGCCACCAAGGGCTCCATGGCATGCTCACACTCAACACCTCCCTGTCTCCCTCCCAGGTAATGAAGGTAGGAATCCAAGCTGGGACTCAGCCTGTAGAAAAGAGGAGTTCCCTAAGAAAATCCAGGCCACTTTGGGAGGTGAGGTGACAACCATGCCTGGACCAGTGACCCATGCGGGAAAAGAGATCCTGGCCCCTTTATGGACTCAGGGCAACTTCTGCTCATTCCCTGAAAAACTGCAGCTTCTTCAAAATGCAGGCAAGCTCCCTGTCAGGTGAAGCATTACATTTCAAGGCTCTTCACAGCCACATTAATCCATTAAACCAAACTCATTTACTACCCTGAAGCTGAGAAATATTAGACAGGGTTATGCCGAAAGGCTTGTTTAGTCATAGTTTGCTATACGCCATCCAATAAATTCTTGGTAATATAGTCTGACTTACAGAAATTATGGTAGAGATAAGCATTACAGTATTAATAAATCATTTACCAGACTGCTCAAAATACTGACAGGGTGTTTACAGTACTAGTGAAAGAAATGAAAACTTGTTTATCCAGATTAAGGAAATAAGGTTACCACAAACTCAATTACAGAATGTACATCCCAGTTGACTTTGGGGATTTTCTTACTTTTGTCATTAAGAAAATCGACTCCAGAACCACCAATAGCTATGAATTTTGACTTTTTAGATCACCCATTACTAAAAACTAAGAGGTGTTCAACACCAGCCTTCACAGAATAATGCCTTCACATGCTCAGTCGAGGTGGTGACCAATTCAGAGAGACAAAGTTTCTCATTCCACATTCTTGAATATCCCAGC